TCGATATAGGGGGGAAATCGCAATCACGTAGGTGAGCTCAAAGTGGTACGCACCTCTAGAGGCTTCATACAAACCAGGAAATGACAATGTACAGTTACATTTTAACCAGACACTCAAGTCATTGATAACTATTAAACAATCATATCCTAAGGCCTGCTCAAGAACAGCCCCTACTTGAGAACGATAGAGTTAAAAACCACCCAAGTTCTCTAGTGTGGTCAGGAAACATACGGGAAGTACCCAAGAACTCCGTGCCCTAACGTATGATTATTGCGTGTACCGAATATGTACATCGTAAGTTCTCACGAGGTTTAGTGTACCTCTACGCACCGTGCTGAATGAATATGCAAGAATGGATGACAATATTGTACGATAACACAACGGTTTCAACGTAGGATGCAAGAATGGAGCACGATCCAACACCATACCACAACGGATTCACCATGTCGCACAACACACAGGCCTGAACGCTGCAACGTCGCAACGTCTAAACATGGCTGTCGATAACGCATCGCCGCTTGTGCGTTGGGCCTATGCTTCATACCACTCCTTCTAAGCACCTTGTTTAATGTCCGTGCAAGAATGGTTGACGATCCAACACCATACCACAACGGATTCACCATGTCGCGCAACGCACAGGCTTGAACGCTGCGACGTCGCACTGTCTAAACATGGCTGTCGATAACGCATCGCCGCTTGTGCGTTGGGCCTGTGCTTCATACCACTCCTTCTAAGCACCTTGTTTAATGTCCGTGCAAGAATGGTTGACGATCCAACACCATACCACAACGGATTCACCATGTCGCGCAACGCACAGGCTTGAACGCTGCGACGTCGCACTGTCTAAACATGGCTGTCGATAACGCATCGCCGCTTGTGCATTGGGCCTGTGCTTCATACCACTCCTTCTAAGCACCTTGTTGAATGTCCGCGCAAGAATGGATGACAGTCCAACACCATACCAGAACGGATTCACCATGTCGCGCAACGCACCGGCTTGAACGCTGCGACGTCGCACTGTCTAAACATGGCTGCCGATAACGCATCGCCGCTTGTGCGTTGGGCCTGTGCTTCATACCACTCCTTCTAAGCACCTTGTTGAATGTCCGCACAAGAATGGATGACAGTCCAACACCATACCAGAACGGATTCACCATGTCGCGCAACGCACCGGCTTGAACGCTGCGACGTCGCACTGTAAAAAAATGGCTGCCGATAACGCATCGCCGCTTGTGCGTTGGGCCTGTGCTTCATACCACTCCTTCTAAGCACCTTGTTGAATGTCCGCACAAGAATGGATGACAGTCCAACACCATACCACAACGGATTCACCATGTCGCGCAACGCACCGGCCGGAACGCTGCGACGTCGCACTGTAAAAAAATGGCTGCCGATAACGCATCGCCGCTTGTGCGTTGGGCCTGTGCTTCATACCACTCCTTCTAAGCACCTTGTTGAATGTCCGCGCAAGAATGGATGACAGTCCAACACCATACCAGAACGGATTCACCATGTCGCGCAACGCACCGGCTTGAACGCTGCGACGTCGCACTGTCTAAACATGGCTGCCGATAACGCATCGCCGCTTGTGCGTTGGGCCTGTGCTTCATACCACTCCTTCTAAGCACCTTGTTGAATGTCCGCGCAAGAATGGATGACAGTCCAACACCATACCACAACGGATTCACCATGTCGCGCAACGCACAGGCCGGAACGCTGAGACGTCGCACTGTCTAAACATGGCTGCCGATAACGCATCGCCGCTTGTGCGTTGGGCCTGTGCTTCATACCACTCCTTCTAAGCACCTTGTTGAATGTCCGCGCAAGAATGGATGACAGTCCAACACCATACCACAACGGATTCACCATGTCGCGCAACGCACAGGCCGGAACGCTGAGACGTCGCACTGTCTAAACATGGCTGCCGATAACGCATCGCCGCTTGTGCGTTGGGCCTGTGCTTCATACCACTCCTTCTAAGCACCTTGTTGAATGTCCGCGCAAGAATGGATGACAGTCCAACACCATACCACAACGGATTCACCATGTCGCGCAACGCACAGGCCGGAACGCTGAGACGTCGCACTGTAAAAACATGGCTGCCGATAACGCATCGCCGCTTGTGCGTTGGGCCTGTGCTTCATACCACTCCTTCTAAGCACCTTGTTGAATGTCCGCGCAAGAATGGATGACAGTCCAACACCATACCAGAACGGATTCACCATGTCGCGCAACGCACCGGCCGGAACGCTGCGACGTCGCACTGTAAAAAAATGGCTGTCGATAACGCATCGCCGCTTGTGCGTTGGGCCTGTGCTTCATACCACTCCTTCTAAGCACCTTGTTGAATGTCCGCGCAAGAATGGATGACAGTCCAACACCATACCAGAACGGATTCACCATGTCGCGCAACGCACCGGCCGGAACGCTGCGACGTCGCACTGTCTAAACATGGCTGTCGATAACGCATCGCCGCTTGTGCGTTGGGCCTGTGCTTCATACCACTCCTTCTAAGCACCTTGTTGAATGTCCGCGCAAGAATGGATGACAGTCCAACACCATACCAGAACGGATTCACCATGTCGCGCAACGCACCGGCCGGAACGCTGCGACGTCGCACTGTCTAAACATGGCTGTCGATAACGCATCGCCGCTTGTGCGTTGGGCCTGTGCTTCATACCACTCCTTCTAAGCACCTTGTTGAATGTCCGTGCAAGAATGGTTCACAGTCCAACACCATACCACAACGGATTCACCATGTCGCGCAACGCACCGGCTGGAACGCTGCGACGTCGCACTGTCTAAACATGGCTGTCGATAACGCATCGCCGCTTGTGCGTTGGGCCTGTGCTTCATACCACTCCTTCTAAGCACCTTGTTGAATGTCCGCGCAAGAATGGATGACAGTCCAACACCATACCACAACGGATTCACCATGTCGCGCAACGCACCGGCCGTAACGCTGCGACGTCGCACTGTCTAAAAATGGCTGTCGATAACGCATCGCCGCTTGTGCGTTGGGCCTGTGCTTCATACCACTCCTTCTAAGCACCTTGTTGAATGTCCGCGCAAGAATGGATGACAGTCCAACACGATACCACAACGGATTCACCATATCGCGCAACGCACCGGCCGTAACGCTGCGACGTCGCACTGTCTAAAAATGGCTGTCGATAACGCATCGCCGCTTGTGCGTTGGGCCTGTGCTTCATACCACTCCTTCTAAGCACCTTGTTGAATGTCCGCGCAAGAATGGATGACAGTCCAACACGATACCACAACGGATTCACCATGTCGCGCAACGCACCGGCCGTAACGCTGCGACGTCGCACTGTCTAAAAATGGCTGCCGATAACGCATCGCCGCTTGTGCGTTGGGCCTGTGCTTCATACCACTCCTTCTAAGCACCTTGTTGAATGTCCGCGCAAGAATGGATGACAGTCCAACACCATACCACAACGGATTCACCATGTCGCGCAACGCACAGGCCGGAACGCTGCGACGTCGCACTGTAAAAAAATGGCTGCCGATAACGCATCGCCGCTTGTGCGTTGGGCCTGTGCTTCATACCACTCCTTCTAAGCACCTTGTTGAATGTCCGCGCAAGAATGGATGACAGTCCAACACCATACCACAACTGATTCACCATGTCGCGCAACGCACAGGCCGGAACGCTGCGACGTCGCACTGTCTAAACATGGCTGTCGATAACGCATCGCCGCTTGTGCGTTGGGCCTGTGCTTCATACCACTCCTTCTAAGCACCTTGTTGAATGTCCGCGCAAGAATGGATGACAGTCCAACACCATACCACAACTGATTCACCATGTCGCGCAACGCACAGGCCGGAACGCTACGACGTCGCACTGTCTAAACATGGCTGTCGATAATGCATCGCCGCTTGTGCGTTGGGCCTGTGCTTCATACCACTCCTTCTAAGCACCTTGTTTAATGTCCGTGCAAGAATGGATGACAGTCCAACACCATACCAGAACGGATTCACCATGTCGCGCAACGCACATGGCTTGAACGCTGCGACGTCGCACTGTCTAAGGTTGGCTGTCAATAACGCATCGCCGCTTGTGCGTTGGGCCTGTGCTTCATACCACTCCTTCTAAGCACCTTGTTTAATGTCCGTGCAAGAATGGATGACAATCCGGAACCATACCACAACTGATTCTCGTTTGTTACTATTGATCATCGTGTTAGAATATCGTTCACTCGCGATAAACCGTTGTGACAAAGCCTACAAGTGCGCATTACATCTGTCACAAGTAATACTTCTGGACGGTCGTTGTGAGTGTGACGTGAGACAAACCGACTACCTTACCCCAACCCCATACTAAACCATTTGCAACTAAGTGTTTGATGAATTTTATTGTTGTATGTTTGAATTTTATTTAGCTGCTATGTGCAACACTGTGCGTTCGCGACAACACTGTACTTTGCAGGGATAAGTTCAATTTCGCACTTTTGGTTCCAACACCGTTCTACCCTTTGTAGTGATTGATGCGTTGGCAACCGTGATTGGCCGACGCATCTCAAACGATTCCCCCCGCAACACAAACGCCAGCCAAGAGGTACTTCCGCCATTGAGCGGCTGAGATCGAGCGGTAGGTGGGTTTATGCTGGGGTGGCTATACGTACACCGTTCGATATAGCCTGATAGGGTTACAGTAATCTCTCTAGTCTCGCAACCCACCCCAACCACCCTCGTGCCCCACCCACCTGCTTCCGTCACTCTCTGGGCCAACACTTTGACGCTGCTCGCTGTTTGACACACGCGTTTCCTGATCGCCCGTGACTCACCAGTATACTAAGTCATGGGCCGTAGCTCTGTGCTTAGTGGCTACTATTTCAGTTTTAGTTGAAGCGGCGGTTTTTGGAGAAAGATAACAGTGATAGACCGTCGATAATCCCATCGTGGGATTCAGTTGCGGTACCCCTTCGAAACCGGCTCAACCCTTCCGCGCGATAGAAATTTGCACTCCTACAACAACCATGACACGTGCAACACGTAAACAAGCAATCGAGGAGGAACAGGCCGGGCGCCGCGCGACAAGGAGGATGTCTAAACAGATCGATAGGGAGGGTGGTGGTGGTGCTGAAAAAACTAATGCGTCCGTCGCGCGTGGCATTGGGCTGAAAAAAGTGGCGGCAAATAAGGTCGAGCGCGGTCAAGAGAAGTCCGGCAAGAAGGCGGAAGACAAGGGGAAGCAACCAACGCCACGCAAGCGTGTTTCTACAGTGAACAAAGATGCGGATGTTGCCTCTGCTGGAACCGAGCCCGGTCCGAGTAACGACGGCACCACTGGCGGCAACGAAGATCCGGGGCGAGGGAGTGCGAGTTTTGCAGTCCCGTCGGCGGAGAGAGAGGGATCGGCGACAGGGGGAAACCACGGAGGCGATCCCCGCGCCGAGCATGCCGCAACCAAGGAGTCCGAGGCGGAGGCATCGCAACACCATCTGACGCTGCTCCAGCCGACCGTGGTCGAAGTTTCTGCAGCCGTGCTGGATAAGGACAAGGTGGGGGAGCACGAGTCGATGGAGGATCCTAACCACAGCATCACCGACGTCGGTGGCTCTCCTCCTTCTGGTGGACGGGGGAGGCGTAGGTAGAGGAAGAGCGATGGGGAGGACGATTATGACACCGCCGTGCCCGGAGACCTCACCACGCGGGCGAAGAGGCGGCAGACGACAGGCAGTGCTGACGACGCCGGAGGCGCGGAAGTTGGGACAACGCGATGAAGACCCTGGTGATGCGGAGGAGGAGGAGGATGAGGAGGAGGATGTGGAGGAAGAGGAGGATGAAGAGGATGCGGAAGAGGATGACGCGGATGTTGGGGAGGATGAAAAAGATGAGAATGATGGCGGGGAGGACGAAGAGGAGGAGGAGGAGGAGGAGGACGAGGAGGATGAGGAGGAGGAGGAGGAGGAGGAGGAGGAGGAGGAGGAGGAAGAGTAGGAGGAGGAGGAGGCAGAGGAGGAGGAGGAGGAGGAGGAGGAGGAGGAGGAGGAGGAGGAGGAGGAGGAGGAGGAGGAGGATGTGGCGGCAGTGAAGGGACGGGGCGGGCGTGGCAGACGGGTGAGTGGTACAGGGAAGTTGGGGGGCCGGACTCGCCATTCCCGAAAACGCGGGGCAGTTGACGCCGCGCGCGGCGAAGCAGCGGGCAAACCGAAGGCGCTTAAGGTGAAGGTCGAAAGTGAAGGGGGTGGTAAAAAGCAAGGGAGCCAGGGAGCAAAAGGGGATGGAGGAGGAAAGGGTGGCCGCGCCAAAGGGGTTCCAGTGGGTACCGGCAAGAAAGAACCTGCCGGTAAACGCCGCAGCGTCCGCCAAAGCACCCCGCGGAAAGGTGGCAACGAGAAGGCGCAGGCTGCAAAAAAACCGAAGGGACAGCACAAAAGGTGAGCATTGTGGCCAATACAACTGGCGTGGTTGTTGTACTATATGCTCAACCGTGCCAAATAACACCATTTTTTCACATTGTTTCTCCCCTGCAGGGAAGGAGAAGGTCGACGAATCTGCCAAGCAAGGTAAAGCCTCTTGTCTCAAAACAGTACAACCCTAAACCCGATTTAGATTCAAGCCGTTGATCTTATGCATGCATGTCTGGCCCTGTATTGAAACATATCGACTCTAATTTCTTTATCCTACTCCCTCTACATCTCAGCCCCTCGCGTTACAGGCATTGGGCCACCGGTAAGGGTGCAACGGATGCAGCTAACGAAGGCTGCCGGAAGAGCGAGTGTTACACCGCTATCCACAGGAGCACCAAGGTTCTACACGCCATACTCCGGCCCGAGCAAAGTGGCTGCAACGGCACCCAGCGCGCCAAGAGGAGAGGAGTCCGAATCCCCTCCACCAGCCCCCGTCACGCACTCCCCACTCGCCTCACCCTCGTACCCATTTCGGCAACTCCACGCTTCTCCTGTCCGGGGCAGGGCGGTCTCCCCCCTCGCCGGTCCTTCGCGCGGGCATCAGGCATGCACTTATGTCAACCCCTTCCTTGAGCTCCCCTTTTCCCGCCAGCGTGATAGTGTGAGGGCACACGGGACTACTGTAGAAGACGTTGATCCCCTTGGCTAGAGGGGGGATTCTTCACACCCTTTTCCTCCGCTCATGGGTGCCCTAGGTGAAAGTGCGGAGCACGAGCAGTTTGTTACACGGGAGGAGTTCCAGGCGCTGCGGTCTGAGATGTACGCCATGTTTGCACAGCTAGGCCTGCGTCGTGGAGTACCTGCCAGCTATGCCGGCGGGTCGGCAGCCGTGCCTATGGCTGGTACCCCGCCGCCGATGAGTGCCGTGGACAAGGCACGAGTGCTAGTGTTGCAGGAGACAAACCCATTCCCGGTATGTGGCGGGCCAAATGGGGCGGGTTGGGGTTGACGTGGCAACCAGGGCGGGGTTGGGGCTGACGTGGCGGTTTCGAAGGGAACACGGGAGCGGCGCGTGACGAGGCGACGCGTATCAGGTGGGTGGGGGGTGACGTGGCATGGGGTGGGTGGGTGTGACGTGGCACGTGGGGCGGGTTGTCAGTGGACGTCGCGGATGGAGGAGGGTGTGACGTGGCGGGATGTGAGGGTTGGGGCTGACGTGGCGGTTTGGAATGGTACACGGGAGCGGCGTGTGACGAGGCGACGCATGTCAGGTGGGTGGGGGGTGACGTGGCATGGGGTGGGTGGGTGTGACGTGGCAAGTGGGGCGGGTTGTTGGTGGACGTGGCGGATGCAAGTGGGTGTGACGTGGCAAAAGGTGAGGGTTGAGATATGACGTGGCGGTTTGAAAGGGTGCAAGGGAGTGGCGCATGACGGGGCGAGGCGTTTCAGGTGGGTGGGGGGTGACTTGGCTCTTGGTGGGGGGTGTGACGTGGCAAGTAGGGCGGGTTGTTGGCGGATGCAAGAGGGTGTGACGTGGCGGAATGTGAGGGTTGGGGCTGACGTGGCGGTTTGGAATGGTACACGGGAGCGGCGCGTGACGAGGCGACGCGTGATAGGTGGGTGGGGGGTGACGTGGCACGTGGGGCTGGTTGCTGGTGGACGTGGCGGAAGCAGGAGGGTGTGACGTGGCGGGATATGAGGGTTGGGGCTGATGTGGCGGTTTGGAATGGGACGGGAGCGGCGCGTGACAAGGCGACGCGTGTCAGGTGGGTGGGGGGTGACGTGGCATGGGGTGGGTCGGTGTGACGTGGCACATGGGGCTGGTTGTTGGTGGACGTGGCGGATGCAGGAGGGTGTGACGTGGCGGGATGTGAGGTGAGTGTGTGACGTGGCGGTTTGGAATGGTACACGGGAGCGGCGCGTGTCAGGTGGGTGGGGGGTGACGTGGCATGGGGTGGGAGGGTGTGACGTGGCACGTGGGGCAGGTTGTTGTTGGACGTGGCGGATGCATGAGGGTGTGACGTGGCACGTGGGGCTGGTTGTTGGTGGACGTGGCGGATGCAGGAGGGTGTGACGTGGCGGGATGTGAGGTGAGTGTGTGACGTGGCGGTTTGGAATGGTACACGGGAGCGGCGCGTGACGAGGCGACGCGTGTCAGGTGGGTGGGGGGTGACGTGGCACGTGGGGCTGGTTGCTGGTGGACGTGGCGGAAGCAGGAGGGTGTGACGTGGCGGGATGTGAGGGTTGGGGCTGACGTGGCGGTTTGGAATGGTACACGGGAGGGGCGCGTGACAAGGCGACGCGTGTCAGGTGGGTGGGGGGTGACGTGGCATGGGGTGGGTCGGTGTGACGTGGCACGTGGGGCTGGTTGTTGGTGGACGTGGCGGATGCAGGAGGGTGTGACGTGGCGGGATGTGAGGTGAGTGTGTGACGTGGCGGTTTGGAATGGTACACGGGAGCGGCGCGTGACGAGGCGACGCGTGTCAGGTGGGTGGGGGGTGACGTGGCACGTGGGGCTGGTTGCTGGTGGACGTGGCGGAAGCAGGAGGGTGTGACGTGGCGGGATGTGAGGGTTGGGGCTGACGTGGCGGTTTGGAATGGTACACGGGAGGGGCGCGTGACAAGGCGACGCGTGTCAGGTGGGTGGGGGGTGACGTGGCATGGGGTGGGTCGGTGTGACGTGGCACGTGGGGCTGGTTGTTGGTGGACGTGGCGGATGCAGGAGGGTGTGACGTGGCGGGATGTGAGGTGAGTGTGTGACGTGGCGGTTTGGAATGGTACACGGGAGCGGCGCGTGTCAGGTGGGTGGGGGGTGACGTGGCATGGGGTGGGAGGGTGTGACGTGGCAGGTGGGGCAGGTTGTTGTTGGACGTGGCGGATGCATGAGGGTGTGACGTGGCACGTGGGGCTGGTTGTTGGTGGACGTGGCGGATGCAGGAGGGTGTGACGTGGCGGGATGTGAGGTGAGTGTGTGACGTGGCGGTTTGGAATGGTACATGGGAGCAGCGCGTGACGAGGCGACGCGTGTCAGGTGGGTGGGGGGTGACGTGGCACGTGGGGCTGGTTGTCAGTGGACGTCGCTGATGGAGAAGGGTGTGACGTGGCGGGATGTGAGGGTTGGGGCTGACGTGGCAGTTTGGAATGGTACACTGGAGCGGCGCATGACGAGGCGACGCGTGTCAGGTGGGTGGGGGGTGACGTGGCATGGGGTGGGTCGGTGTGACGTGGCACGTGGGGCTGGTTGTTGGTGGACGTGGCGGATGCAGGAGGGTGTGGCGTGGCGGGATGTGAGGTGAGTGTGTGACGTGGCGGTTTGGAATGGTAAACGGGAGCGGTGCATGACGAGGCGACGCGTGTCAGGTGGGTGGGGGGTGACGTGACATGGGTGGGTGGGTGTGACGTGGCAACAGAGTCTGGTTGTCAGTGGACGTCGCGGATGGAAGAGGGTGTGACATGGCGGAATGTGAGGGTTGGGGTAGACGTGGCGGTTTGGAATGGTTCACGGGAGCAGCGCGTGACGAGGCGACGCGTGTCAGGTGGGTGGGGGGTGACGTGGCATGGGGTGGGTGGGTGTGACGTGGCAAGTGGGGCTGGTTGCTGGTGGACGTGGCGGAAGCAGGAGGGTGTGACGTGGCAAGTTTGCACAGTCCATCCTGTGGCGACGCGGCCACAGTCATAACTGATGGTTTCTCTCTCCCATGTCGTGTTGTATACCCCACACCCCTGCGCAGAACAAAGCCTACTTAGTGTGCTCTCAACTCATGTTTCTGAACACCCCGGAGAAAATCCTGTACTACCCTGCACCGGAGGAAGTGTTCGAAGCGTTCGCTGTCCACTTGTCTGCAGAAGGGCTAGAGTCAATGAAGCTGTTGTGGTTGCACAACGACAAGTCTACCATGGGTGTCTTCATCCACCAGATGTCGTCAACAAGGTCAACAATCAACTCCACCGTAAGGCCAGCAGCATACACCATGGGCCTCTCCGATTACGCCCATCTCGTGGATAGCCTGCCCACTGAGCTACACCCAAAGAAGTGGATCAACGACGAGCAACTCCTGGACAAGTACAGAGATGGTATGCGCAACCCGGAAACACCCTATGCCCCACCATATGCCAGTTGGCAGCTACAAATCACCGTGCGGTGTTCCTCACCCTGACTCTCACCCCCCCACATGATTTCTCTGCAACCCCTTTCCAACGCATACCCTCCCTCCCAAAATGCAGAACAGTGGGCCCTCAACTGGCACTTTGACAAGGCCACCGGGACGCCCTTCAGCAGCCCCTTGTTCGCTTATGCGTTCAAGCTCTCCTTCAAAAGGGGCGGGGTCGTGTTCACCAAGTTCAAGAGCTGCATGGTGGCATGGGGCATGTGTTTGTACACCCAGGCCTCATCCCCTAAACCCCTTGCTTGTATTTCATCTAACTCCCTGGTCGCTTAAGCGTTTGCGGTTCCGTAGATAGTGACGCCTGAAATCACCGCTTTCAGTTGGCTCATATACCCGTAACCCCCCCTCATACACCATCCACCCAATCCTACACCACATTGCAGATCGAGTGGCCCCTTCTGCAGGATAAGCGTCGCAAGCG